TGTCCGGCCCTCTGCTGGACTGCAGATATTTATAGGTCTCTTGCCTTGTACAGGATTAACAGCCAGTGGCTTGCTACTTTAATTGGCGTTACCAAACAGTTCAGTGTAGACACAACACTGGGAGCTCAGGGCAGGAGGCTGGGAGCATGGGGATTCGGGGTTGGGAGGTGAGGAAGGACACAGAGAAGGGGGCTGGGAGTGTGAGGGAATGCAGGCATCAGAACGGGGTGGGGGACTCAGGGCAAAGGGTAGGGGTGCAGGAGTCATGGCAGGGTGATCTGTTCTGGTTAGCTGGCAGCTGCTCCCTAGAAGTGGCAAGAAGTGGCTGATCTCTGGGAGCAATGGGGGCTGCACTGGCCAGCCAGGGCAGGGCTGGCCCCCTATGGTCATTCTGGGGTATACATGTCCCCCATGCTTGCTTATCCCCCTGTGATCATTTGTGAGTATAATTACCACACCCCTCCCTTTCCATTTGAAGAGAAACAGTCACATTCCACTCACATCAAATTGTCCTGGCACAACCAGACCCTGAATGTGCTTCAAGTTAGGATAAGAGGAAGCTGCCTACCAAATTTGGTAGTCCTACTATTTAGGAGGATTTCTTGAACAAGCGGACTCACAGACAGATGCACAGTCTTTCTCCAAAATGTAATAGATTGAGGTAAACACGTTTCTTTGTTTAGAATAGACCTATTCCTGCCTAGTCGGGGGGCATGATTTTGAACATATGTTACCAACATCATACAAAGGGAATTCATAACTTTACCTGTAATGTTGCTACATGCATTTCCCTGTGATATTGATGACTAGTGAGTTCTTAGTTTACCTCACAAGGTACATTTTGTACAAAGATTATTATACTAGTGTGTAGAGTGTGAATACAGGTTGTATAGTTAGTTAGCAAGGAAGCAACTGGCTAACTCAAGTGAAAACATGACCCTTATAAACATCTACAAAATAGTAGAAAAAACATGATTGTTAAAGCTATTTTGGTGCTGCTGCATTCAGCATCATGATACCTAATTTAGGCATAAAATGCCATTTTTCAAAAGGGACTTAGGCACTTGGGAAACTGAATTCTATAGACAGTTAATGGACTTTAGAGTCAAGTACCTAAATCCTTTTTGAAAATTAAGGTTTAGGCTCCTTTATCTGTTGTGCATTGTGACACTGAATGTGGAAGTTCCTAAATATCTTTCACATATGGGCTTTAATATTTTTTTAAATGAAATTGCAGTATGCTTGTAAACCATGCTCAATGAGAAAACTGGTTTAAAAGTAGCGCATTTAAAAATCAAGTTAAGGTTCTTTTAAATAAATGTCACAACTAACAGACAAGTCCACATGAATAAGACGTTTGAGTATTCTGTTTTATTCATGCAAGCAAAATTTCATCATTGGAGGCTTAGACTGAAATACACTGCCCCACACTGTGTTTTATGTGGTGGTAAAAGCTACAGAATACATGTTTCAAAATCCTACCTATATCATTTTAAGGTGGAAGAAATGCAACAGTTCTTCACGTCGCTTTGATGATTTATATGGCCTGTGATCTCATGGTTATAAATGACCTCAGTGGTGTGTGTTTACCACAGTTTGTCCTGGCCTTGCCCCAGCCCAGAACTGTTAATAAACATTGTACCTATTGCATGAGGTATTCTGTTCCCTTCAAATTAATCACACAATTGACATAATGTAAATTTAATATATGACAGTCACTTGGCCCTAGTCAGAAACAAATGTGGTTTACTGATTGGCTAAGACATTTTAGTTTATCTGCTTGGATTTCTGGAATTAAGTCTTTGCTTAAATTGTATCTGAGTTTCCTAAGACTAACGTCATACTTCACCATTGGGGAAATGTGCTTCACCATTGGGCAAAACCTGCTACCGTCTGTAGAAGATATACACAGCAGGTGTATATGATACCATCTACATGTTTTGTTAGTCTATAAAGTGCTCCCAGACTAATTGTTGTTTTTTCAGTTTACCTGTTCAGACTAACTCGGCTACCCCCTAAAGCTTCTGTTGACGTAAAGGCATTTGTAATGTAATCAGATAGGTTTGCTTTTATAGGTTTCCAGACTAGATTTACTGGCTAGCTTCTTCTCCCCTCCCCCCACCTTTTTTGATTGCTACTGGTTGAAAGTCCTAGCTAAGCTGCAATAAAATGTAGAGATCATGTCACTTTTATTATTCAGAGCAGTAAATATTTGGTTGTGGATTCCTAATCTATTCTTTCTGCCAGTGTTTTTCTGGCCTGAGAGGATATATACAGATCTGTCACTGTGAAAAAGGTTGCATGTAGAGTATCACAAATGATTGTTGAGATTTAAAAGTAAAAGTTCTGTGGCTTTAAAAAAAACAATAGTCATTTCTTATGTGTATATTTTTAGAAACATTTAAAACATAGCTCTCTTGGAAATTAGCCAGAGTTTCCATAATGCTTGCTAACATGAAGCTCATGGCACAAAATGTTCACAGTTCCACCTCTTATCGATTAAACAAAGCTGGTTTGGTGCCGGTGAGAAGCAGGAGCAACAGTCATGGGGTTCATATCCCCACCTGTGACCTTTCTATTGCTTCAACAGCTTGTGGTAACATGTGGCTTCTTCTACTAAGTTTTGCTATGGAGCTGAAAGTTGTTTGGGTGTTGCCCCTATGACATTGTGCCAATATGCCAGCAGCACCCTCAAGATCCAGAAATTGGTAATGTGATAGCTAGAACCCTTGCGGCAGGAGCATCTCCAGGTTGTTAGTGCCCAATGGCTATTAAGATGCCAATTACAAACCCTCTGCCACAGTTGGCACCTTTTGTTGGCATTCCCCGCAAAATCAAAGGGGCAGGAGGGCTGAACTAGATCCCTGAATGAAGAACACGCAGTCTATTGGATGGCACTATCAGTGTAAATTTATCTTTCCTGTGAGTAATGAGGGCTGTAGTCCCCTTCGCTCTGCCTAGCACCTTTCCCCAGCACTAAATTTACAGAGACTTTTTTTAATTAAAAAAAAAAAAGCATGACAGTATAAAACATGATAGTTAACTCTACGGTTGCCATGGAAATAACATTGTGAGAATGTGACAGGTCCAGGTATATGGTGAATGCCTTGGAAACCATGGTGACTGCTCATGACAGGAGAATCTATATGAAGAATACATGGATTAACCTGACTTGAGCTGAGCAGGCCTCTGCCATTTTGAAAAAAATTGTGGCTTTTTGTTTTATAAAACTGTTTTGTTGTCTCAGCAATTCTTGACTTGGAAACCTAAGATATGCAACTATAATTACGTGAGTCTGCTCTGGTCCTTGTGTTTAGCCAGATCCAGGAAACCTAAGAAAAGTGACCTCACAAACTAATAAAAAGATACATTTTTCAAATGCTCATTGCAATAGAACCCCTGAATTTTGCAAGAGACAGCGATTCCTTAGAACAGGTCTAGACCTGGAATGTCGGCTTAAGGTACACAACTCCAGCTAGGTAAAAAACATAGCTAGATTTGACATATCTTAAGCCGATCTTGATGTCATCTTCACAGTGTGAGGCCAATGGGAGCAAATGCTCTCATCAGTTTTCCTTTCTTCTCAGGACTGCGAGGAGTACAGGGCGTCCCCACTAGACGTCACTCTGGTATGCATCAGTTCCACACTAACGTCATTGACGCTTGTAGAAACTGATGTGTTATAAGTCCTCCCATTCCCCACTCTGAAGTTGTGCAAAAAAAAAAAAAATGAAAGTTAGCTGCAGGAAAAAAAATTCCTTGCTTTACATCAGTTCACTATACGTCCGCGTTTTTTTGGAATGTATTTTGGATGTATAGCGGGGATGCCCTGTACCAGTGCTGATTAGGGGTGCCCTCAGCATTCAATTTAGCGGGTCTTTTCTAGACTCACTAAGTCGAACGCCAGAAGATCAATCTCTGGCACAGCAAGTAGAGATGTGGCCTTACTAATTACATGGTAACATGATTAGGACTACAACAGTGTTGTCTATTGTTAAGTCAGCCCTATAAGATCACAGAGTCCCTAGCAAGTGTTCTATTGAAATCCTTGACTAAATGAAAACTGTAGGATTGGTCTTGTACAAAACAGAGGCTGACAAGGGGAGGACAGAGAAAATCTTACATTGGTAAAGCAGTGCTTGTCATTAGCTAGAAAGCACCCTTGAAATGATTCGCAATATTATTACGTCACTGCATAACACCCTGCACTTCTGTTTTTATTGGTGATAGGCCTGAATTTAAGGCCCTGGGTTCAAACACAGCCAACCTTTGCAGCAGTCTTGAATCAGATCCAAATTTCGTATTTCTCTCTCACCGCCAAATACCCCTGAGCTTTGGGAGCATTTCAAAAATAAAATAAAATGTGCAGTTTTTAAGTATTCTTCCCCCTCCTTTGTGAAACTTCTCCATTGTACAAGAAGGCAGGGTCAGAGCAAGTATTGAAACCTGGCTCCTAGTCCTTTACGCTGGTCAGCTCTTTTCCTTTGTCCTCTAAATTGCAGGCCCATTGATTCTTGGGCTTTGTCTACACATTAAAATTTAAAGCCCTGCTGTGTCTCTCCCAGCACTCTAGGTAAACCATCTCCACGAGAGAAGTAGCTCTGTCCACGTTGGCACTTTACAGTGTTATGTCTTGCTGTGCAGGGAGGGGGAGAGGGTTTCACTCCCCTAAACGGGAAAGTAACAGCTCAGTAACTTTCAAGTGTAGACAAACCCTTGTTCTCCATAGAACCTTAACACAGTATCTCCACTCAGATAGGCACCAAATTTTGTGGCCTTTGAAAATTTGTCCCAGTATACTTGTCTGTGATGCTTGGAAGGACAGGAAATAGAGCAATAAAGAAATGATCAGGTGAATGCTCCTTATTTCTATTGAAGTGCATGATTAACAGGTTAATGCAGAGGCATAAATGGAGGTATCTGGGGAGTGACTGCCATGTAAAACGTTTCTATACGGGTTCTGCAATTCTCTTATATTTATGTTTGTTTGGCTTTTTTAGAAAGATGAGAAAGCGACAATAGCCAAGATGAACAGACAGCGCACCAATTCGATTGGCCATAACCCTTCACACTGGGGTGTGGATCGCCCCTTTTACAACCATCTGGGCACTCACCAGGTCTCCAAGGAAATGAAGAGAATGGTAAAGACGTTTTTGCTTTATGGAATATCTGTTGTTATTGTTTACTATTTATAGAGCACCATGGGCTGCGAAGGGCACGTTGCAGTAAAACAAGGAATGGACCCTGCCTCGAGGTATTTACAGTCAGAGGCCTGATCTACACTACATGGGAAGGTCAAAGTAAGATATGCAACTCCAATCATGCAAATTATGTAGCTGGAGTCGACATATCTTAAATCCCTGTCCACACAGCAGGAGGTCGATGAGAGCAAATGTGCCTATTGGCTTCACTTACTCCTTGCGAGGAGTAGAAGTACTGGTGCCACAGGGGTGCCCTTTGAGTTCAATCTAGCAGGTCTGTACTAGACCTGCTAAATGGAACCCTGAAAGATCAACCGGCAGCATCAATCTTCCATGTAGTGTAGACATGCCCTTGGGCCAATCTTTCACATATTTACTATTGGACAAGGGAATATTATCTTGACTTCAGAAGGACAAATCACAACAATAGTAGGTACTCCTGAATACCAGTGTTTTGTGGGATTAAACCCTTGGTTATTTGAGAGTGACTGTTACTGAGATGGGTGATTGAATGGAGAAAAAAGAACACACACACACGCCCACCCACCCACCCAGCAAATGGGAAGAGCAAGCTTTCTACTAACATCTGTGAAATAGATGAATTTCCCCAGCTCTGCAAGTCCATTGCACACACTAGAATCTGCCAAAGGTTATTTTCATTGCTTCATTTTATTTATGCACCCCTACTGTAAATAACATCGCCATTTATATGCATTGGTCTCCAGGGTCCCTGCTAAAAGGAATCTCTTTAATGACCTGCAACTCTCCAAAGGAAATGTGGAAGCTTCATCACTGGAATAATTTAAGATTGCATTATACCTAGCACTCCAAAATACACTGTAACACAGATGGAATAGTTGACCTATAGCAATAGGTCTCTTGTTCCAAGCCCTCCTTTGGGAAAATTGAATTTGATATCCAGCCAACACAATTTCTTATCAGGGCAGTGATGCGTGTGCGCAGTTTGATAAGGTGGCCTGTATGGCTCATTTTGGCATATGTCAGAGAATGTCCCTGTGTTCCCTGTGTTTATGTCCCTTTGTTCCCTAAAAGGAAGATGAAGCCAAAAGAACATATTTTCTTTTAATAGGCAATTCATAATAACAACACTTAGCACTTTTGTAGTAATTTGCATAGTCAAATTGTTTTCCAAACATTAATTCATTAATAATTGATTAATGGAAGCTTTTAAAATAAATGAATTTCACTTAATCTACATATCAAGTTAATTCAGGACAAAATTAAAACCATGTCTTCAGTTGCATGTCTCTGAGATTGTGGGACTGGAGGGAACCTCAAGAGGTCAAGTAGTCCAGTCCCATGCACTCAAGGCAAGACCAAGTAATAACTAGACAAAGATGGCCCAACTAGCTCATGAGTTACATGCAGCCCTTTTACTGTTTAAGTGCAGCTCACAAACACCCCAGGGCTCCCTCATTCTCCATATACCAGACTGTGGGGAGGGGGCTCAGGACTAGAGATGTTAAATTTAGATTAATTAACTAATTGAATAGTCAATGGGATTTCCATCGACTATTCGATTTGACTATTCGAGTCTGCTAGGCTCTCGCTACAGTTCAAAAGTGGAAGCCCCGCAGGGAACACAGGGCCAGTGGCGGAGTCCCCTGCTGGCCCTGTCCTCCCTATGGCACCTCAGCCTTTGAAATGTACAAGAGCCCCAAGGGGCTCTTGTACATTTCAAATGGACACCCAGCAAGGCGTCTTGTTGGGGCTCTTGTACATTTCAAAAGCAGAATCCCAGCAGAACTGGTGCAAGTAGAGACTGCTTCAGTCCCCGCTCATGCCATTTCCCGCTGTGCATCTACCTCCCCTGCCTCCTGCGGAGACAGTTCTGGGGGGAACTGGAGTTTAAGCTCCAGCATCAGCATCAGCTCTTGCACCCCCGCCCTGCTGCCTCTTTCTGATAGAGGCAGCGGGGGGAGGAAGCGACTAGTTGCATCACCAGTGGACTATCCAGTAAGCTCATGCTTACATCCCTATTCAGGACCTCTGCCTTGCAGTGAGGTGGAGGGGGTAGGGGTGTCGAGCAGGAAGCTTGGGACTTCAGCGGGAGTGGAATTGAAACCCTGAGCCCCAGCTCCTGAACTTCAGAGTCTTGTAATATGTGGCTCAGAGGGCAAATAAGTTGGTCTTCCCTGAACTAGACCATTACTAACAGGTATTTTTCTAACCTTCTCCTTAAAATCTTCAATGAAAGAGATTCCACAACCTCCCTAGGCAATTTGTTCCAATGTTTAACCACCCTGACAGTCAGGAAGGTTTCCTACTGTCCAATCTAAACCACCTCAGTTTAAGCCCTTGCTACTTGTCCTATCCTCAGAGGTTAAGGAAAACAATTTTTCACCCTCCTTGCCACAGTCTTTTATGTACTTGAGAACTGCTGTCGTTCCCTCTCAGTCTCCTCCTCTCCAGGCTAAACAAACCTATTTTTTAAACATCTTTCCTCATAGGTCATGTTTTCTTGACCTTTAATCATTTTTGTTGTTCTCCTCTGGGCCTTCTCTAGTTTGTCTACATATTTTCTGAAATGTTCCCAGGACACAGTATTCCAGGTGAGGCTTTATCAGCACAGAGTAGAGTAGAATTACTTCTTGTGTCTCTTTTTTCAAGAGTGTTACACTATTGACTTATATTTAGCTTGTGATCCACGTTAGCCCCCAGATCTTTTCAGTAGTAATCCTTCAGAAGTAGTCATTTCCCATTTTGTGCATGTGCAATAATTGTCCCTTCTTAAGTGGAGTACAGTAAAACTCCAGTTGTCCGGCATCCAGTGGTCCGGCACTCCTGCTAGTCCAGCACCACCTGGAACCCGAAAGTGCTCCAGGCAGCTGGACAATTGGAGCTGCTCTGCCCTGGGCTTCCCCGAGTCAGACGCTGGTCAGTTTCAGCAAGGGCTGACTTGGGGATGCATGGGGCAGAGCAGCTGGGGTGCTGCCAGGTTGGTCTTGTAGTGCCGCCCCATCCACCCCACTCTACCCCAGACCCCTCATAGCCCCCCCCTTCCGATAGTCCGGCATATTTGATAATCCAGCATTCCCTGGGTCCTAAAGGTGCCGTATTATCGGCAGTTTACTGTACTTTCCATTTGGTCCTTATTGAATGTCACCCTGTTTACTTCAGATCATTTCTCCAGTTTGTCCAGATCATTCTGAATTTTAATCCTGTCCTCCAAAGCACTTGGAATCCTTCCAACTTGGTTTATCCACAAATTTTATAAGACTGTTCTCAGTACCATTACCTAAATCATTTACATATGTAAAATGGCACAGCCAATTGGGAATTACAAACTATATACAAGTAATTATTTTGCACACATCATTGTGGCAATTCACATGGCTACCCATATATTTTTGAAACTGCAGCACTGACTGAGTTATAGAAGAATTAATCTTTTGTTTCCACTAGAGCGTGACTAGACACCACATACCAAAAACCTATGTTAAAAGAACATTATTAAAATGTTAAACACTCAGAAGTTGGGAAATTCAATCATTAAGGTGGCCTACCTCACAGCAGCTAGGAACAACCATTTTGCAGGGAAAGTCCAACTTTACCCCATAGTTCTGACCTGTAGGGAGTACGCTCAGTTGCTCTGTGATAGTGGCATGCAAAGTCTGCTCACAGAAAGGGGTTGTGAAAGGCTCAGTATGCTCAGGGAGGATGGAATCTTTCCAACAGGTGGGGAACCTCAGGCCCACGAGCCGGATGCGGCCCCCAGCTTGCCTGGATCTGGCCCCCAAGGCTCTGAGCCTGCCCCCCAGTATTGGGGAACCTGTGCTAGCACTCCAGCCTCCCTCCCCCTCTGCTGTCCCACCATGGGGCTGGAGCACACAAAATGTATTAGGCTGAGCCCCTAGGCTCTCCTGTGAAAGGACTGTGAGGGGTGTCTTTCTCCTTCTCAGGCAGAGGCCACATCAGTGAGGGGTTTTGTTTGGGTGGGTTTTTTTCTTTTTTGCTTCTCACTTGTGTGTGGCCCTCAACTGATTTTTCTTTTTGTGGGAACCGGGCCAAACAAGATTCCCAGGTAAAAATCTAAATCTCTACGGTGCACGTGCAAACTGATTTTTGTTTGTTTGCTTGCTTGCTAGTTTCCCAAAGGCTTAAAATGTGGTCACATTTAGGCAGACTTTCATATGACGAAATGCACGTTGCTGACAGAAAGGCCACTCCCCTGCCTGCTCCAAAGCACAGAGGTTCTAAGACTGGGAAAGTATACCAGACATTTTAAACAAGGCCATAATAAAATGTTTCTAAAAAACCAGCCAAATACATGTTAAATGTCATCTTAAACAATTAATGTGGTAAGGAACTGAGAGTAGGGTCTAGTAATGAGAAGTGTCAGATAATCTTAATAGTAGGTTGTAATTGTGCTTTCATGAATCAGTACCGAGAACCCCAAATTCAGATCACACCTGCTGAAAAGTAGGTTGTTGCTGGTAATTTCCCCATAAGAGATGTCAAACCAGCCACAAAAGTAATATCTGTTTCACCACACTGGGTATCAGGAAGTCTTAAAAATAGTTTCATGGAGTACGTCTACCAACAGAATTATTTTGGAATAACTAACGTTATTCCAAAATCACATTGTGCTCATCTACTCTATAAGCCTTTATTTTGAAATAATGTTGAGCTGGAGGACTTCTTACTCCAACTCCTATAACCCTCATTTCACGAGGAGTAAGGGAAGTCGAAGGAAGAGTGTTCTTCCTTCGACTTCCTGCTGTGTAGACAGCACCAAAAGCCAAATTTAGCTATTTCGACTTCAGTTATGCAATTGACGGAGCTGAAGTTGCCTAGCTTGATTTGACTTTAGCCCTGCTGTGTAGACACATCCTGAGGTATTCATTAGATCACCATCAAAAACACAGGATTCAGAGCTGAGTGGTTATTTACAACCAGTTTCATCAAATAAATGGTTC